ACATCAAAGAGGAACATGAAACAGAAAGCCACTGATATTGCCTTACTGATAGGCTACAGTAAGAGCTTAGACTGAAACTTAATTATTTTATAAATTAAAACAGTAGCCCCTCAGTCAGAGAGCAGGTTCAAAGGGACCAGATGACCCAGGAGAGGAAGTACAAAGGTCTATGATTGACACTTACATTTGAAACAGTAATAAACGTATGTATCACTAATGTTGGACTATAAAGGAACTACATCACGGTCACATGACTTCACGTCACCACCGCTAAGCTAAAGGCGGCTAATGTTAGGCATGATGACATTTAGTCGTCTCATTTAGACACTTGTTAGCAACCGCCTTTTTAAATTCACCAGGGGGATATCTACAGATGAAAAACAAATCTCAGAATTGCTAAAATTACAGATTATTCTGAAATCTATTTTCTATATCCTGCACTCTCCTGCTTATGGTAGCCTCTTTTTTATATGTATAATAAACAGAAGTCGTCTGCACAAAGCTGATTATGTCTCCATCAGTGATTCATGTCACGTGAGCAGGAGAGTAAAGATGTACATTCACTGTAAGGAGAGTTTTATGGAACAAATATTATTGAGGTTAATTGAGTTTTGTTGTTGTTTTTTTCCTGCAGCAATAAAACATCTGATGTTTTTGCTTATCTGACCTTATATAATATGTTTTACACTTATATTCTCACCTTGTGGACAAAATACAAATTACAAAAAGGCTGAATTTTAAACTCTGTTTCGAGAAATACTCTGTTTCAGTCTGGATGCATACGTAGTTAATGCTTTTCCTTTGTTTATATAAAGTATATAGATGGAAAACAACCCACAGTTTTACACATATTGTAATTAGATTAATTAAACGTCATCTGCAGGGATCACGATCTGCCGAGGAAGTGACCTCTGCTCGTTTCTGCGTTTCTTATGCGGATATGTTTACTGATCGTTTTAAGGATATGTATGTGTTTGCCACTTCCTTGTAATGTGTAAGCCTGCTTATTTGATTTTTTTTTTTAATAAACATATATTTAATGTATTATTTCATATATTTAGTAACTTTCAGTTTGGCTTTATTATGTGTAATTCCTTCTTTTTAATGTAAACTCAAGAACAAATATATAATAAACCAAAGTAATGTGATCTGAATAATCACATTATATATACTGCATATTATTTATTATTATTATTATTATTGAATGCTAGTTCACTTACTTCTGCTGCTAACAATGTTTACTATAGTTCCTTATTTTTATTTTATTACTCGTGTTTGCCACTGTTTTTATTTTTGATTCTATTAATTTGTATTATATATTTAATTATTTAATATTTTTAGTAGTTTTCAGTCTGGCTTTGTGTGTATTTCTAACCCTTTTTATTTAAATCACTAAAAATAAACTGTTTTATTTGTATTGTTTTTATTGTTTGCCCTTTCCCTTTTTTGTATTATTTTTTGTATTATTTTAACCATGATTACTTATTTTTTTACTTTTTAATAACACGTGTTTACCTCTTATTTGTATCGCATTAGCAAACTTAAATTGTCTTTAATTTAATGGTTTTTGTGGATTTCCTTTTTACGCTATTTTAACTCGATTTGTGATTTGTATTTGCATCCACTGTCCCGTAGCAGCTGGATTACTGATTCTGATGCAATTTGCACAACTCGTAAAAAGCAGTTTTATGATGTGACAATAAAGACTTCTTACTTTTGTGTCTCTCCTCGTGCATCTCCGCTGCTTCTCACTCTCAGCTGCAAACACCGAGAATCATCTTTACTGTTTCATCAGTTTTGCTTTTATCCCCATCAGCCTCTCAAACAACTTCACTGCATTTCAACCGAGACAAAAAACTCAAAATTAATCCACTTCTTGTTCTTTTTATTCCTCCTTCTTTTCCCGGTGCAGCTGCAGAGATCAATGCATCGATTTATATCCGGAGTTTAGTCATAAAAAGTGAGAGGAGCGGAAATAAATCCAGAGGAAAATCTGAGGAGAGAAATTCGCTTTTTTTCAGCTTCGTTTCACTAATCTCTCTCTCTCTCTCTCTCTCTCTCTCTCTCTCTCTCTCTCTCGCGCGCGCTCTCTCTCTCTCTCTTCATCTATCTGCTCATTCTCGATGTCTCTCTCTCTCCATCTATCTGTTCATTCTCGATGTCTCTCTCTCTCTCTCTCTCTCTCCCAATTGGGGATTAAATAGAAAAAAGCTCAGTGTGTTAAAGGGGAGGGCAGCTGGAGCATTAAAGGGACAGAATACAAATCAGCAGCTTTTATTATTATAAAATATGTTTTCTGATCATGATGATGACACTACATGTTACATTAATGACTATATATCTGTTTTTATGCAATAAATAAATGAACTTCTTGCCATATTGCTTATTTATATTATTAAGAACGTTTGTACATCCATATAAATAAAATGTTGTACATATTTCTAGCCATTTTTTTGCTTTCGAGCCTTTTAAATGGTATTACTGTACATATGTTTTAATTATTATCATGTTACTGTTGAATTTAAAACAATAAAACAAACAATTAAAATAGTTATAATTTGTTTCTATTCTTAAATCATGTTTCTATGGACCGACATCTTAATTGTATTACATATATTCTCACATCTTTCTGGACCATCTCCTTATTGCAAATTCTTTTACCGTGAATACTGTAATGTTTAGTAAATCACTATAACCATAAGAAGAAGATTTAAGGTCATGCAATGAAGAAGTAGTGGAAGAGGAAATATGAAGAAGGAGAAGAGCACAACAAAAGGAAGCAGACAAGGAAAGGAGGAAGAGGAGGAAAAGACGAAGGTGAAGGAGGAAGGGGAAACAGTTCTTGACTTTGTTCTGAAATTGAACCTGAAGACTTCATAGAGCAGCAGATTAAACTGTAATACACTGTGTGTGTGTGTGTGTGTGTGTGTGTGTGTGTGTGTGTGTGTGTGTGTGTGTGTGTGTGTGTGTGTGTGTGTGTGTGTGTGTGTGTGTGTGTGTGTTGTGTGCGTGCGTGCGTGTGTGTGTGTGTGTAGTGTGTGTGTGTGTGTGAGTGTGTGTGTGTGTGTGTGTGTGTGTGTGTGTGTGTGTGTGTGTGTGTGTGTGTTTGTGTGTGTGCGTG